CACACACAGGACTTCCACTTTCTTGCAGGGCGCAAATGGAGTCTCACGTGGGAATTCCTGAGACTCATCTAATGGGCCCGATCCGTAAGTGTCAATGGAGCCTTATCCTGTTCATTTCTGAACTCAGTACATTAAAGGAGAACTATGAGGTGAGTGCTTTTCACTCACCTCATAGTTCTAACCGACCTGTGACAATGAGACTGTCATAGGTCGGCTCAGTAGATCGGGAGGTGAGCGAACACATACCGGCGTTCGCTCACCTCTCGATCCTGTCACGGCTCTCTGCTGTGATAGGGGAGGGGCTGGATTCCCCCCTCCGATCCTCCAGCGCTGACTGGCGGAACGGACGGGGGAGGGGGCGGGTACAGCTGGCTCTGCCTCTAGATAGGCAGAGCCAGCTGTCAGTCACGCAGCTGGGCGGATCCCGGCACAATTGTCGGGGATCTGCTTCAGCGTCTCAGTATACGGCGAGCAGCGGCTCGCGGTATACTGCGGCGTCTCAGTATACCGCGAGCAGTAGCTCACGGTATACTGAGCCTAGGGTGACGGGAGGACGCTAGTTTGTGTCCTCCCGTTACCCTTAGGAGAACTATGGGGAAAATACTTAACCCCATAGTTCTCCTTTAAGGAAGGGAAGTCCATAACCCCTTGCAGGACAGCAGTTGTTGAATACCGGCTGTTTTATTCGTGTTCATGTTCCCAAAACATTTTTGGCATTTCAACAACCCTGTTAGTAAGTTACATTTTGTAAAGAATTTGACCTGTAGGGTCACTTAACCTTTAAACAGCCCAGAACAGCTTTGATGACCGCTTAGTGGTTACTAGATTCATGTAGACAGAGTTATTGAACTAATTTGTGGTTGGAGAGTGACATCAACTGCTGAACTCTGTATTCAAATCTTTTATGATTATTTTGCAGCAATCTATTGCTGAGCTGTGAACATAAATACGGGGATTAGTACAAGCTTTATTTTGGGATAGAAGAGACCAAGAGATTCTATTTCCTTGACCCAAGAGAGACGACTTGATGGACTACAATCTCATGTTTAGTTTACTACTCTGTATTGAGATTGTATTCCATCACAGGAGTGAGCTTGGATCGGTGGGTACTGTACAACACACACAGGGACCATGGGGAACAAAAGTAGCCCCCCTCCAGAAGGAAGGACAGTGTCTGCACCAATTCAGAGATGATTTGAGGATCTACAGCCGAGTGATACACAAATAAGATACATGTTTGGTAATAGTTAAGGTCCTTGAATACATTTTTAAGGTTTAACTCCTGAGTTTAGTGTCACTAAGTTTCAAAGGTTAAAAGGAGAACTATGAGATGAGTGATTTTCACTCACCTCATAGTTCTAGCCGACCTGTGACAATGAAACTGTCACAGGTCGGCTCAGTAGATCAGCTTGTTTTGATCTAGGGAACGGAATAAAGAAGATACATTTACCAATCCTCAATCCTGCTTTGCTGACTGCTCACCTCTCTTCCCCTCCGCTCCAGTTGAGGAACGTACCTCAGCGTCCTCGCATCTAATGCAAGTGAATGGACCTTGCATAGACGTGATGACATCAGCAGGATTTAGACTGCCGGAGCCTGAGGGGAGAATAGGCGGGAGGGATAGGTCTAGCAACCAGGCCGGATCGAGGATCTGGCGAGTATATTTTGTTTATTTACACACCAACACCACAATGAGCATTTAAGCCTTGCAGTGCGGGGGTAGCCCCAGTGCATGCAGGGCCGTCACTATAGGGACCCTAAAACCACCTTATGCAGCCTGAGGTGGTTGTCTCCACCGGCATCTCATTAGGTCTCCCGGGGGGGCGGCAGGGGTGGCTACCTCCCCCTTTCCGGCCAGAGTGTCCCAGGTTGCCAAGAGCTCTTAAGGTGCGCATACACCTTACAATTATCTGCAGATTTTCTGTGGTCAGATGGAAAAAGTGCAACGGATTGGCCCAGGTGGAGATTACTCCATCCATACAGTTTAGCGTAGATGGAGGAATCTGTTGCACCTTTTCCATCTGACCACAGAAAATCCGCAGATAATTGTAAGGTGTATGGCCAGCTTTAGTAACCTCCGACACTCTGGCCGGCATCCCGCCCAGCTCCTGGCAACCAGTGACGTCAGGACATAGTTGTGTTTGGTATTGTTCCTTTTAAAAACACACTTCCGATAATTAAAGTCGTATTAAACTCTCAACATTTTGTCAATAATGAACCCAGATCAAAGAAATATAAATTGCCCAGCACTTAGTCGTCATGTTTCTAAACATCTCCCAATTCTCTGCTGAATACAAGATCACAAGGGACAGCACAATCTCCAGCAGCTGTCCATCTACTAACTTGGAGTAGGAAGAAGAGAGGGGGAAGGAAGGAGGAAGGAAGGAGCAGGGGAATGTCTTGCCTTGCTGTGGTTGTGTGTTTACGGAGTCACACACAGCTTACTAGCACACACATGGGTGGCCCCATAGTAGAAAAAACATGTGTGCTCCCTGCCATAAAGGCCGGTTATAAATTCATTCAGGTACCATGTTTTTTCTAGTGTGACTATTTTTGGATGTGGGGACGCACTGGGGTCCCAGCGTGCATTTGTGGTTGCTGGGCCTCCAGTGCGTCCCTGCACCTTATTAGGAGGAGTTGGCTACCTCCAGGTACACCTGCATGCAGTTTAACGACTTCATTAATATGCTCACACTTGGAGACTCGGATACATAGAGTTAGGACCACACTTTGCAGAGGTGCCTTGGCGCAGCAGTGTGGCTTCTACATATTTTTGGCCAAAAGTTTGTGCAACTAAAACCTCTGATTTTAACGCATACTGTTGACAGGGCTACTTGTTTGGTTGCAGGCTGGCTGGCAGGTGAGCTGGGGATTTTCTGTGTTTTGTATTGTGGCTCCATAGGACCCTGCAAGGGAAAGGAGCCACCCCCAAAACAGGATATCAGGACCAGTGCTCAGGGGAGTAGCTGATTCTGCAGGAAACTAAAACTTTTAAACATCAAGAAGCAGCGTCCATTGTAAGTGATTTCATCAGCATTTGCAGTAGCTTAAAAATCTTTTCACTTTGATATCACTTTAAAGCAGCCAAAATTTGTATAAAATAAATAGCCAATTAAAAGATAAAACTACAAAACCAGCTTTTGCTTCAATATTTACCTTCATCAATAAATCATTATTGTTATACGGATTTATATGGCGCCAACAGTTTGTGTAAAGCTTTATAAAATAAGCAGAGGCAGCACAGTTACAATCAAATTCAAGACAAGA